GATCAATTGTTCAAATGTTTTAAAGCCCTCGATTGATTCTCAGACACTCACCTCTCCGATTTCTTTCACTCCTACAATTTATGGTTCAAGGATTTTCAACACAATTTCTAATTGAACGGAGCAGTCACAAGATCTTAAAATAATTGACACACACTTTCAGAAAATGTCAATCATTCATCTCGAGTGACTCTTTTCCAGAACGGAAGCACACTGTAATATTGGCTGAAATGGCTGCAGGTGATTATGTTTAAAAAAAACTCTTCATCAAAGATCGATATGGCTAATTACTCGTTTCGTCGATTGGAATAGGTCCAATTTCCTAAGAAATGTTTTGCATTATAAAAGATTTACGTGCATTCTGTATAATCGAGTTTTATCAACCAACTAAATCCCAAAGTAACTAATTCATGTACGAAAACAACTGAGAACCTCATAAATAATAAAGGAGTAGAATATTTCAACGGGGATCAAACTTAAGCTGTCATATTTTGCGTGATGTTTCCCTCATGTTTGAAAAACTCACTATAGCTGTTCGCTAGACTTATAGCTGGTGTTTTCTGAGAACATGCTCATTGTACTCTACTACTTCGTTGTCATTGTTTTGGCCTCCTTTATACCGGAAGGACGAAGTAAGATTTTACACAGTTATGGTTTATGTTATGGTTTGAGTATATTTCAAAGTTTACCAAGGCGATAAATTACTTTTTCATTTCATATATTTTTTTGTTTACAACGACTGAATCTTAAAGTAATCGCATAAGCTTCTCCAACTAATATCAAATATAATTAATTATTTCATCTAAATTCAAAAAGGAGGGGCGCTTATTGGAGTATCTTAAAGCAAAGTTGACTTTAGAAAAGAAAAACAGTCACTGTCTCTTCAATGAATTGAAGTCTAGGGACGTGTTCGACTTTTTTGATCATGCACGATGGATGTGTTGAGAGGCTCATCTAAACTCAACCAAAATGCCTTGTCTTGTTTAACTTAAAACTTTACTCAAGTGTAAAGCTTTTTAATTCTTGGTAAAGAAACCTTTTAGTTCGTCACAGCGAGCAACATAACGCACGATTTGCAATCTGGCTCCAAAGTTGATCTACATGTTGGTTGATAATTCAAAAAATTTAATCGAGTACTGAATTCGTGTATTTGAGCGAGTTGGTAAAACTATGGTATAAGTTATTTATGATCCACCGCAGAAAAAAGTTCTTACTTAGCTTGAGGCAAAAACAGGTGGTTCAAACAAAAGATTTGATTAACAAAGACGACAATTGACCGTTAAGGATTTTTTCCTCACCGTACGCAATTATACCCTTATGGCGTGCATGCTCAAAAATAAATTTCAGCCTTTCGCCTTGTAGTGATCGTTATTGTACAATATGCAGTGAAAACTTTTGTTACATCCTTAGAAGTAGAAAGCCAGTTGACAGTTTTGCGTGAACGATCAATTTTGTCTTCTCGCGCTTTTCATAATTAATACGCAGTTTGGTCGAAAGCTGAAGTCACGCGACATAAAAACAACCGCTTCTTATGACTTGACACAATAAAAACTTCACAACACGTTTCGATAACAAACCTTTTTTCAAAGAACCAAACATGCGTAGAGGAGAGGACCATTACCACGTGATAAACACGATTTGCTCTATGTAACAACAAAGGGTTTTTTGTTTTTCGGCAACAATCGTTCGATCACGATAGCTGATCACAACTAAAGGAAGATAACATGATAAGTCAGATTATTAATATAAATCACTCTCCTGGTGTTAAACCAAAACAATAACTCAGTAGTAACACTGCTCTACAATTCCAGTCTCAGCAGAGGGGCTCAATGTGACATAGAAATTTTCTTCATATAATTGTTCACCAGGCAACTGCCGCAATTTGAAGTTTACCAGTTTTCCTAA